GGACTCTCGGGATATAACTTCAGCCATGTTGTCTGTGCTCTAAATAACACGATACCCAATATGAACACATGTGAACACTGCATGGCGTTTTTATTCTCAACCAGCGAGGGCCGTGCCCTGTCAGTCAACGTGGCAAGGGCCAGCAGCGCCCAGGCCGGGTCTTTCATGGGGCGCAGGTGCATAATGAGCCCGCACAGCCCACGCTTTGTCTTCGGTGCAGTGCAGCGATAATCCCCTGCGAGCGCCCGGCAGCGCGAACAAATGCGCTCTGCAAAACAATACACGGATTACCTCCGCTAATTGCAGCGCTCTGCGCTGAAAGAATACAGGGGTTGATTGGCAGTGCCCAGCAGCTCTCAGCAGCTCGTACTTTTATTCCAGGCTTTGATAAGTTCGGTCACCCCGGCTATAAAATAAGTTCGGTCACCCCGGCTATAAAATAAGTTCGGTCACCCCGGCTATGAAATAAAGTTTTACCGGCCAATGATGGCCTAAACTTTTTAACTGACAGCCCCAAACTTTTTAAGAAATGCCAAGCAACTTTTTTCTTTTTTATGGTAAAGTTCCGATTTCGGAGTCCCCGGCCCCAAATATAAGGCCTATGGCTCCAGTACCGGAGCCCCTGGCTGGAAGTGGTTAATAAAACCCACAGTTATTGTCTAAAAGTGGTTACGGGTGTAACAGAGACACACATGACAGCATCAGTATTGAAATAACACTAATCCACAGGCCTAATCACTGGTATTTGTGTTCCTTGACTTAATTTGTGTGGTTTGATTTTCCAGATGTACAGAGCCAGTCAACTCCTTACCTATTTCTAAATCAAAGATTGTATAGCGCCAAAGGGGCAAGATGGATAACCCTGCCCAAAAGATGTAATTACCATGGGCGCCATTTGAGCAATTGATACATGTACGCCTGCGCAGTTTAAAGTAATGCTTGGGTGCTGGCTCACCAGGTGCACGTGGCTGCCGCGGCACCTTCGCCTTTGTATTAATGTGAATTGCGCAGGCGTATCGCTTGCTCAAATGCCGCCCATGTGATTACACTGTTTTACGCTTCGTGGAGCTATACGATCTTTGCTCTAAATCCTCAACCCATCCCATGTATCTTCACTACCATATGACAGTTCACAAACTCCATATTTACAGCTGAATCATGCCGGAAGTTTTGATTACTGTGTTGCCCAATGGTATTAAAAGTATTGACCCCTCCCTTTCTCAAGTACCTGTACATGATATTATGGCTCTGAGTGGTGCGTGGTCATGAAAGTGTAACGAATTCTGGTGCTGCTAGCTGAAGAAACAATTGGTGGAGGGACCACAGCCATGACATCTTCAACTGGAAGACACCAAATGTCATCTACATCTGGCCATACAAATTGGTTGGGGCTACCTCCTTCACAGTCAAGGACTAGGCTTCTCTGGCAGAATAGAACCATTTGGAAATTAATGAAATTGAAAAATTAGTGAAATGGTGTGGTGTAAATACATTGTACTTATAGTCAGACCTGTGTATTCTATGGAATTATCTGTCTTGCCAAAAGCTGTCATTTGTAGCAGTCTACATGTATAATTCATTTCAGAATTACACATATGTTTTGGCAGAAGTACACATATGTTTTGGCAGTTCTAGATTTTACCCGTACATCATACTTTGAAGAGTTACCATTAGATGCATGTATTTTCAATGATCAAAGTTCAAGTATGAAATGTATGTATGTAATAATACACTACATGTATATTTACCTGTGCCATATAGACTTTAAACTTCTTCCAAAGTGCTATTTTGCATATGACATATGTCCCCTGGCTTGATAACATCTGTGAAGAGTATGGATATTAACAAAGTATCAGTCATGACTTCCACATTACAGCTTTGACTCTCATTGTCAATCTTCTGGTAGACCATGCAGAAGATGTTAAGGATGGGATTCAATAATTCATGTAGTGCATACATTTGGATCACAAGGCCTCACACTCAGAGAATGTGCTTCATGACAGGAATAAAACTTATTCACGCATGCTATTCAGATAAATTGGCTTTTTCATTGTCACCATTTGTATGGTTGGTTTGTGGACTGACACATGTATTTCAGTAATCTGTGCAGGACAGACTTGTATGTTTGTTATGGCCAACTCCCTGATAACACCTTCCTGACAATGCATTGGGATGGTCCCAGGGGATC